GTCCAGCAGCTATCTCAATCAATCGTCAGTTATGGAAAGATCGGGTTCCAAAGGCCGGATCCCTTGTGAATCAAGTCACGAAAAATTCAAGAATCGGCAACAGGCCATGGGCATATTTCTTCAGTGCCGACATACTTAATTCCATTCTATTCTATTACTTATCGTTTAGGTGACATTGGGCGTTATTACCATCCGCTTCTGATGAGGGAGGCTCGAAAAACAACTACAGCTATTTTTGGAGGGGAGGAAGAGAAAGGCAGAAGTAGGCAGAAGTAAAAAACAGAAGTAAAGAAGTAAAAGTAGGCAGAAGTAAAACCAATTGCTGTTTCTCACAGTAACTCTAATATTATTTCGAGAATCCTATGGGGCCAGTCACATGATCCTATACTAATATTGACTTGGGGCCAGTCCCATAATATTCATATGCTGTCTGAAGAAAATTTTATTTAATTCTCGTTATAATCCAAAGTTTATATTGCCAACTCACAGCTTAACGATGTGGCGTTTGCTTTTACGGTAAATTTTCGGGAACGATATGCGACTTATGAACATCAAAGATATGCAATTTATGAACATCACATCAAAGACATGCGACTTATGAACATTGAAGACATGCGACTTATGAACATCACTATAAACTCTCACGACACGCAAACAAAAGATACATTCGTCTCTGTGAGTGCAGAGATCGGAACTGCTTCTTCAAATGTATAAAGGTAGCGCGAATGGTACAGTAAGTTCCAGTTTAAATAAATAATAATTGTAAAATCTGAAAATTTATTAATAAATGGATTTCATTCGAACTGATACACGCGCATTAGGGCTACACCCATAATACTCCTGTCCTGAACGTTTAATTAAAGTATTATTGCTTACACAACAATAATACGGGTAATAAAAGGATTTCTACGTAACTTAAACAATAACCATCATTTATCAAGTAAAAGTAATTTCTGAGTGTTTAAGATCATCGATATTTGAGCCGTGCATTGGGGGTTTGAAACCTGCAACTAGGTACTCGAAGTTGTAAAGAATCTGGTCGAGGCATGCGAGATGGCAAGGTCGTTCAAAATTGGCAAATGGGTAAGATGGCCTATAATGGAAGCTGATAAAATTATATTCCATTGTATCATATTACATTATATTATATATATATATATATACACATCGTATATTATAATATACTGTGAATAGCATATTACGTTGCATTTCAATATATTTTACGTCAATATTCCTATACCGCACCAGCTTACAATTAAAATTAATCCATTAATTCCAACAAACTATTTGGTTTCGAGGTACGTACCATGTTTGTAAGATATAGTATCCCATCCCTGGCCCCTTTTACACATGACAATTATGATCCCAATGTATAAAATATATATATAACTAGAGTGTATAGTATGGATATGGTATATACCATATAGTATACACATGACAATTAAGATCCGAAGGTATAAAATATACTAAATATATATAATATATAAAATATATCAAATGGAGTCTATAGTAAGAATATGGTATATACCTCATAGTATATCTACATAAAATAAAGTAATATATATATAAGTATGATATGTATATACCTATAATATTATAATATAAGTATAATATGTAATACCTTATACTTATATATATACTTATATATATATAAGTATAAGGTGGCACATAGGTAATACGAGCAGACCTGCGAGCACGTGACCACCGAACCATCAGCCAAGACGAGCTCGTAGCTCAGGCAGATGTGCTGGAACAGACCAGCCTTGTGGGACGACGTCTCTATACCCGTCCCCATCACCAGTCCACCTTATGTACATTGATAACAAGCTATTAATTACAATAATTAATGTCTTAAAATTCCCCCATCACCAGCCCGCCTGATGTACATGTTAATGACAAGCCATTAATTACAATAATTAACGTCTCAACTAAGAAATTAAATGTCCCCATCACCAGCGCACCTCATACATGTTAATGACAACAAGCCATTAATTACAATAATTGTCGTCTCGATGAAGAAATTAAATCCTAGGATATTTAGGGTCACTGTCACTAGATATAATAATAATAACATTATAATATGTGTTGGGTCACTGTCACTAGATATAATAATAATAACATTATAATATGTGTTGTGTTTCCTCTCACGTTAAGCCGATATTTGCTCTTATACAGCTTCATGGAGTGACCCCTGAGTCGCGTTGTAGTGGCCTTAATGAACGTTGGGTGCTCAACGCTGTAGTACCCGTGCAGGTATTTGTAAACCTCGATCATGTCGCCGCGCAAGCGTCGGTGTTCCAGACAAGGTAGTTTCAGCAATCGCAGCCTCTCGGGGTAAGGCTTGTCCCTCAGTGAACCCAGGAGCTTCGTTGCCCGCCTTGCACATCCTCAATGTCGCTGCACAGGGTTTTATGGTATGGTTGCCAGACACAGTGTCCGTACTCCAGCAGCGGACGGACTAGACTTTTATACAGTTGTATAAATGTATGCTCAGTCAGATGGTCAAATGACCTGCGAATTATGCCGACTACCTTGTTTGCTTTGGCGGTGCAATAGGCCACGTGCTCCTTGAAAACCAGCCCAGAGTCCATCATCACTCCCAAGTCCCTCTCCACCCCACTTTCCCTCAGTTCAAGCTGCTGTTCCTGTCCCTTTCTCATAAAATATTTTCCTTCCGACTTTTGACGACTAGGTCGTCGACTTTCCGTAACTACGTCATAGTTACGGTCGTCCCATCCTGCTAATCCTCATTAATTAACATAAATATATATTATGAATCTAGTCAACTAGGAGATAATGAAGTTCAATACTCGGATCAGAACACAATGTAGCTTCTGTCATTTCTACTACTACAGGTGCACGTAGCTTCCAAGTAGTAAAGAGAAAAAATTTCAACTTTCCTCTACAAAATTCCAAATTACTTATTTAATGAACTAAGTAATTAACATAGTCAGCAGTCGCTCACTGGTAAGTGGTCTAGTGGTTACAATTTAGAGCACCAAGATTGTCGCGCTGAATTGTGGCTGCGAGACCCGCAACGAACTGTGAAAATTCAGCTTGTTTGTTATCGGCGCCAGGTCTAATGGTCTGATCCCCGCTATTAGTTATTCATTTGTGTACCTGGTATTTGTTATTTATTTGTGTACCTGCAGCTCCCCAGGTCTAATGGTCTAATCCCCGTTATTTGTGTACCTGGAGCTCCCAGAAGATGGAGCGCGTGTGACGATGGTAGTAATCCCTCAGAGGGATGAACTCGTACGCTGGTCCTGATACCATTCAAAATCATGAATGTAAGAATGTATAATCGAGCGCATGTAGAGCATCGAAGGAACTAATTTGTGAGAAATTAGCTCCTTAATTAATCCAAAAAATTGAGGAAATTCAGTCATAACTTTAAAAAGATGGCATAACGAAGCATAAGACATGATAATTTTACGGCAACATGCAACATGCCTACTCCAGCATCATACGTAATCTTGACAAATGCTCAACAGCAATTCAAGCAATTGATAATTACTAATCAATGAACGGCCATTATTTGTGTTCAAAACAAGCAATTGATAATTAATCAACATTCATTATTTGTGTTCAAAACTGACAATGTGCAGCTGTAGCCAAGATATTTCTCATGATATTCTCGTCTACATTCACTTGTAACTTCATTGTTTATTTAGTTTTTAACATAAACTTCACCTTTTCGCTGGGATGATCTTGATCTCGACGGCTGTGAGGAATCCTAGGGTGCCGTAGGACCAGGGAACTGAGTAGAACAGATCCTGATTCTGCTCCTGTGACGACAGAATGACTTTAGGGAGAATTGACTCATCTGGCTTCTTTTAGATTGCAAATTATAGGAAGATCGAATTCTAGCGTCAGGTTCGGATATGTTTTGCCTGTCGCCAATTTTGAACATCGCAGAATTTTCAGAGTTTTCTGGGTCTCGAACTCTCAACTCGCAGCTTCGATATTTCTGTTCCTTACTATTCAGCAACCTCACAGATTTCGACCATAATTTTCACGGCTAGCAGAGGCTCGAACCCGCCAGTCACTACTCCTATTTTTCTTATCTAAGATACCAGGCCACGCCAAACAATGAGACGTCGTACGAGATTCACGGTACATGGATGCACTGAACGCTCTATAGTTGAAATAATAAAATAATAGCGGTTTCAGCGTTATTGGGCCGTAGGCCTGTCGCCGATTCTTAANTATATATATATATATATACACATCGTATATTATAATATACTGTGAATAGCATATTACGTTGCATTTCAATATATTTTACGTCAATATTCCTATACCGCACCAGCTTACAATTAAAATTAATCCATTAATTCCAACAAACTATTTGGTTTCGAGGTACGTACCATGTTTGTAAGATATAGTATCCCATCCCTGGCCCCTTTTACACATGACAATTATGATCCCAATGTATAAAATATATATATAACTAGAGTGTATAGTATGGATATGGTATATACCATATAGTATACACATGACAATTAAGATCCGAAGGTATAAAATATACTAAATATATATAATATATAAAATATATCAAATGGAGTCTATAGTAAGAATATGGTATATACCTCATAGTATATCTACATAAAATAAAGTAATATATATATAAGTATGATATGTATATACCTATAATATTATAATATAAGTATAATATGTAATACCTTATACTTATATATATACTTATATATATATAAGTATAAGGTGGCACATAGGTAATACGAGCAGACCTGCGAGCACGTGACCACCGAACCATCAGCCAAGACGAGCTCGTAGCTCAGGCAGATGTGCTGGAACAGACCAGCCTTGTGGGACGACGTCTCTATACCCGTCCCCATCACCAGTCCACCTTATGTACATTGATAACAAGCTATTAATTACAATAATTAATGTCTTAAAATTCCCCCATCACCAGCCCGCCTGATGTACATGTTAATGACAAGCCATTAATTACAATAATTAACGTCTCAACTAAGAAATTAAATGTCCCCATCACCAGCGCACCTCATACATGTTAATGACAACAAGCCATTAATTACAATAATTGTCGTCTCGATGAAGAAATTAAATCCTAGGATATTTAGGGTCACTGTCACTAGATATAATAATAATAACATTATAATATGTGTTGGGTCACTGTCACTAGATATAATAATAATAACATTATAATATGTGTTGGGTCACTGTCACTAGATATAATAATAATAACATTATAATATGTATATATTTCTAGTAATGTCTGACCGACAGTGAGGTCATCCATCTCAGGGACCACAGGGATGCTCCAGCCGAGCTCCACCAACATGGCGGTCAGCTGCCCCATGCTAACTAGAGGCTCGCACCACACGCTCTGTAGTAACCATATAATATATATTTGTACTGTTTTATACATCTTATATAATAATAAATAAAGGACTTTAATTTTACGACTTTAATATCTAATACAGCGTTAGGGCCGTACAGGCTAGATTGAGATTTATTGCTACGGTTGTGACTTTGGCATGAGGTAACGCGAAAGACGAGAAAACGTTAAGCGTTATTTAGGCCAGCTAACAGAACATTCAAGATCGAGCGCTGCGCAATAATTCTCATCGGTACGGTCACGGTTATCGTAACGGTACGGTCACGACCACCAACAGCAGAAGTACGGCACTGAGCTTGGAGTAACATCAACGACGATGAAGACGGACTCCACCATTCAGAAGTACGGTCGTTATATAAATTCTACGGTCAGACCGGTCGTGATACATGAATCTACTAAGCACGGAGATTACGGCTACGGGCGCAGAGCGACTGTGAAAAGCAGCTTCGGGGCTACGGCTGCGGTACGGCTGCTGGAAATACTCTGTAGTAACCATATAATATATATTTGTACTGTTTTATACATCTTATTTAATAATAAATACGCGACTTTAATTTTACGACTTTAATATCTAATACGGCGTTAGGGCCGTACAGGCTAGGTCGAGATTTATTGCTACGGCAGAGGCGTTAAGGTCGGGGCCCTGATCATTGACATGAAACCATTCCCTGTTTTTAATTAATAAAATTAATTCCTTTTTGTTGGAATGGTGAGTGTGGGAGGCCTTTATTTTAAGAAAAAAAAAACAATTGCTACGGTTGTGACTTGGCCGTGAGATAACGCGAAAGACGACAAAACGTTAAGCGTTATTTAGGCCAGCAAACAGAAGATTCAAGATCGAGCATTGCGCAATAATTCTCATCGTCACGGTCACGGTCATTGTTATCGGTACGGTCACGACCACCAACAGCAGATTTACGGCACTGAGCTTGGAGTAACATCAACGACGATGAAGATGGACTCAAACATTCATAAGTACGGTCGTTATGTAAATTCTCCGGTCAGACCAGCCGTGATACATCAATCTAAGCCCGTTTATTACGGCTACGGGCGCAGAGTGACTGTGAAAAGCAGCTTCGGGGCTACGGCTGCGGTACGGCTGCTGGAAATATAGCCACAAACGTGTGCGTGAAGTACGGTTGTTTCCGACAGTCGTACTACTCAACGGAACTGCGACGGATCAACGTTTCTGGTTACTTCAAAGTTTGAGTGATGGTAGCTGATATATTTTTTTACTTTGGTTGTGTTTCGATTACTCTTTTCCTGTACAGGAGATTTTTGTTAACGCATGATGTGAACTTGAATTTATGAGCTGAATATTAAATGTACCAGCGTTTCATTGCAACCCTCTACCTATTTCATTCGAGAGCTTAAATATGCGAATACTCCGAATAAAGCCTGAGACGTTACGGACGAAACCTGACTAAATTAAAACAATTACCAATCTATAATAATAAATGATTATAAATAAGAGCAAATTACTACCAATATTTATCAAAAGCAACTCTAATCAAGTTTAGCTATATTGTTTCCCTATCAATATTAAGACCGATAATACTCAAGTTCAACCATATGATACCCCGATATCAACACTGCAGACCTGTCTGTTGACGTCCACTTCAAGGATGTCGACAAGGTTGATGTTGATGTTAGTGAAGGTCTGCTTGTAGCGGGGCTGTCTGAAGCTGATGGTCTGCCAGCCTGGTCTGGCGGTGCACATGTAGGTCTTCTGTCCTGACTTCTTCCATGCCCTTACCTGTGTGTTGCAAACACCTTCAATTACTACATAAAATAATTATTCTAAAAATAGCAGTACTATTGAAAATAGTTTCGAGTTGGTAGCTCTGTTAGCCAATCACTTCAAACCCACATTTTACACAAGAGACATCACTGACCTTTTAATGTAATAAAAAATGCAAAAACGTTTAATTTCAAGGGCATTTTCATATTTTTGGAAAAAAATGCGCTATTATGCTCGTCATGTCCGCATGTCTGTCCGTCTGGCCGTTCGTGACTTCACGTTTTCGTCGATTTTGAGAAAATGCGCTCTCTGTCACTCAGTACAGTGAGTACTGAGTTATATCTTTTAACTAAATGTATAGTAACCAATTGCAAAAGAAAATTTAATTTTATTTACCCTCCTTTTCCTGCACTTCTTTCAAGACGCAAACTTTAACTAAAGGATACATAGGATTATATTATATTTCATAAAAATTCCTATCCGGCACTAGCGAACAAGTAAGACAAATCGCGTCATTTGAATAATAACTTCGATATTGAGTTGTTTCGTTTGGAAGTTAAACTTATAAATACCGAGTGACGGAGTGAGACTAACTTACATTTCTAAAATAATTTCTATGGTGATAAGTAAATGAGACATCAGCATCCTGCGTGAGAGTCTCTTCAATATGTTCATTATCAATAACGAATAATCTACTGTCCTGCGAAGGTCAAAAATAATCATTTGTCCTTGGCGACTCTTGTACAGATAAGATACGAGAAGGTTGCAGCCGGAGTGCACGTGGTTGCCAGCATAAGCACGACACAAAGCGAACGGTGTAAAGGAGAATGTGAGAATGTAAATCCCAGCACACCGCCAGCGGTACAATAGTAGGTACCACATACCGTAGCATACCATAGCATTTTATACATGAGTAAGGTACTGTCTTGAGTAGGTAATGCATACATACCATAGCATTTTACAAATAAATAATGTACTGTCTTTAGTAGGTACTGCATACCATAGCATTTTACACATAAATAAGTTATTTGATGGAACCCGGGCCCTGACAGTTGGTCAGGGTTTGGTATAGTTCATGCGCTATTGATCGGTTAAATTGATAAGAAACTAACATGATAAACTTAAGTATGTAGTTGGAAATAACATTGCTTCAAATTATTTAATTCTATCGCGGGATGTGGAACCATTCAATTGTGAATTTTAGAATAAAGTAATCACAGCGAAAAGCATGTTGACTCAAAAGTAATAAATCTATAAAGCTCAATTTGTTAATGCTTCTCATAAGGTGGCGGTATATCTATAGGTACACTGTTAGAAAAATGACCGTTAACGGTATTACCGGCGTTTCAGTGGCCGGTCGGCACGTGAAAAGAAACACCGTGTCGCCGTTTTTATTCGAATTTAACACCAGAAATCCGTAAAACATCTGATAAAAACGGCGAAACAGTATATTTTCACGGGACGACCGGCCACTAGGATGCCGGTGGGACCGTTTTTTCACCGTTTTTTCTATAACAGTGTACCTATTTCAAGATTATACCTCATAATTACTGGATAAAATTTAAAGGTACTACAGGTTCTGTTAGTTCTTCACTGAAGCCCTTTAAGGAAACTGCAGTGAAAAAGTGGCAAGTTGCCTTCATATAACCATCAATAAATTCGCAAACTCTGAATAATCCAAAATTAAGCTAAATATTACTAGAACTTTCAAGATTCTTTCACATTCGATATTTTTCTATGGGAAAATATATATTCGACACAAGACAGTTGACCGATAAACTGTTGTAATCTAAAGACTTATCTCAGTTCTTGACATTTTGATTACAAATATATTAACCATCGTAAATGTTATTCGTCTTAACAGCCGTAAATGATATCCGTCTTAACCGTCGTAAATGTTATTCGTCTTAACCGTCGTAAATGTTATTCGTCTTAACCGTCGTAAATGTTATTCGTCTTAACCGTCGTAAATGTTATCCGTCTTAACCGTCGTAAATGTTATTCGTCTTAACCGTCGTAAATGTTATTCGTCTTAACCGTCGTAAATGTTATTCGTCTTAACCGTCGTAAATGTTATTCGTCTTAACCGTCGTAAATGTTATTCGTCTTAACCGTCGTAAATGTTATTCGTCTTAACCGTCGTAAATGTTATTCGTCTTAACCGTCGTAAATGTTATTCGTCTTAACCGTCGTAAATGTTATTCGTCTTAACCGTCGTAAATGTTATTCGTCTTAACCGTCGTAAATGTTATTCGTCTTAACCGTCGTAAATGTTATTCGTCTTAACCGTCGTAAATGTTATTCGTCTTAACCGTCGTAAATGTTATTCGTCTTAACCGTCGTAAATGTTATTCGTCTTAACCGTCGTAAATGTTATTCGTCTTAACCGTCGTAAATGTTATTCGTCTTAACCGTCGTAAATGTTATTCGTCTTAACCGTCGTAAATGTTATTCGTCTTAACCGTCGTAAATGTTATTCGTCTTAACCGTCGTAAATGTTATTCGTCTTAACCGTCGTAAATGTTATTCGTCTTAACCGTCGTAAATGTTATTCGTCTTAACCGTCGTAAATGTTATTCGTCTTAACCGTCGTAAATGTTATTCGTCTTAACCGTCGTAAATGTTATTCGTCTTAACCGTCGTAAATGTTATTCGTCTTAACCGTCGTAAATGTTATTCGTCTTAACCGTCGTAAATGTTATTCGTCTTAANCCTGTCTCTTATACACATCTAGATGTGTATAAGAGACAGGTCATCTACCCTGCACTCGCCTGTCATCTACCCTGCACTCGCCTGTCATCTACCCTGCACTCGCCTGTCATCTACCCTGCACTCGCCTGCGCCTGTCATCTACCCCGCACTCGCCTGCGCCTGTACGTTCTCCACCTTCCTCTTGTGCTGGCGGGGCGCGGAGCTCAGCTGGAAGACGAGCCAGGACCTGGCGTAGTAATACACGTCGTACGCCGCTGAGAGCGGCAGCAAGAACACCACCACGAACACCCATCTGAGACATCATTAATGATATTCTTTAACAATATTCATATTCGTTACATATACATTATATCCGTCACATACGGTATACGGAATGTAGATAACTAATATACATTACATTTTATAGTATATAGCTAATGTTCGTCAATGTATCTAACATTATTCGAAAATCAGGATGACAGGATCAGCAATAAATACATCTCTGTCCAATTACGATTGAAGCAAATATACTTCTGGCTTGGTCTTACATGAAGTTTAAAACCTAGCTTTACATGACTACGTAATTTCAGGTGTAATTCTGTTAATATTCTCGCATTCGTCATTAACACCGTGCGGTTGGTGCCGGCTTATGCTACTTTCGATGTCACTAAAGTCGCCACTCAGCAGCTACTGCATTATTTAATATTATTATTATTAATTTATGTTATCTTCGCCACTCGTCAAACCGTATAATACTGCTATGTAAACTATGAAGTTTTAAAATCACGCTAGAAAGTTGAAGCTCTGATTTGTTAACTTAACAAAAGAGAATGTTCCTTATGAAGGCCGGCGACATAAGAGCCGTGGCAAAATTGGTGGGCTAAATCATCTAAATGGTGGCATTGACGCCTGACGGTAAAGTGTAAACACCACCAGCAATAATTACATTCAGCAGCAATAATATTGTAAGTTAACACACTAATAACCTATTTTGTTTCAAATTATATCAAGAAATTTATGCCACACACGTACCTGTAGTGTATCAAAATATATTTCACTATTGAATTCCAGTCCAGCGACGCCATTCTGGAGGCTACCTAATATATCAAAAAATATTACTCCTAAAATAGAATAAATAGTGGCTATATTTATGGTTCTTTTATATGCATTATCCTGTAGGCAAGAATCATCAAGATTATTCTCTTACTATTAGTACTGGGCACTTCAAGAGACGGTCTTGACATAACTAGGCTAATATAAAATATGTCATTATGTGCAGAGAAAACACGTAATTAAAAATATACAATGTCGCTCCCGGCGCTTCGAATTATGTATATGGTCACTTTGAATGAGAAAAAATGGCATAAAAATTGAATCATAGAAAATTGATCGACAAAGTCTGACTCTGATCTATTGTGTGTAGATGAATGTCGTACGATGTAAGACTATAATAGCACCAGAGAGCTTGGAAGCAACTAACACTTCTTCCCTCGCTTCGTCAAAGAAGAAGGAAAATTTACAAATCTCTGTAATCGAAAATTACCGCTAAGAAGCTAACGTTCATAGTATTTAAATACTTCCTAAAATTATTTCATGTATAGAATTTTTTATGATTAAACGGAAAAGTAGTATTCCACCAGTATGGGCAAGGAACCCGCTAATGCCGCACGCGCACCAACCACCACGACACAATCCACACTGACTTGCCGCAGCTGGAAAGCAAGACTTTATATAGGGCTGCGGCTGCCCAACGTAATTCTACCCGCAGCACATATAAAAATAATTAAACTAATAGGCACTCGCGCATCCCAGCCTAGTAGCAAGGCATTTAAATGTTAACTTCAGCCAATATCAGTTCAAGAATATTTGCGACCAGATATATATTTAGCATAATTTGGCAGTCTTGCTCTCAGAGCTCGGCAGCATCTAATTTTCTTGCTAGCGCTCACTTACATAATAAGTTTTGATGGCTGGGCCAAGGTCTGTGTGGATGCATGGTTGATTTATGGTTACTTATGTCTTGATAGTTCACGGTGACCCGCGGTATAACAAATACAAAACTGGCCCAGTGGTTAAAGTTGAGAGTACCAAGATTTGAGCAGAGAGGCGCGGGTTCGATCCCAGCTCTGTGCGCCAGTTTCTGGTCAGAATCGGCGAGGAGGCCGGGCGGTTAAGCAATGCAAAACTTGCAGCAGTGAGTTGCGAGTTCAAGCCCGCAATAAGCTGTGGATGTTAAAAATCGGGGGCAGGCCTACGGCCTAATAAAAGCTGAAACCGTTTCGATAGCAAGTCGTATGTTGATGCCCATAGAACTCAACGATCATCTGAGTAGGTATTGATGGAGATTTAGGTCAATAAATTAATAGGTACGTCAGTAAATAGGTAGGTACGTCAATAAATTAACAAGGAGACCAAAATGAAACGAAGCTTGTCATTCAAGTGGCATATTCTTTTTATCTTTTTCGGATTAATTGGTATGCACCTTTAATTGACCAAATACCTTCCTCATAATATTATTATTGTTCTCCAAGAAAGAGAGCAAGTTCATATCACCAGTTCATAACATAACTGCCTCTTCAGCCTCATAAGTCCTATGGGATTTCGGCGTTTTCGCGTTCCTAGGGGATTGTTCCTGAGCGCCCCACCGCTGAGCTCGCGGTGTCTGACTCCAGGTCTCAGTTGTGGGGTTAAGTTATTATGTAGGTAGGATACCTTACATTAAGTTATTAAGTAGGCAGGATTCCTTACATTTCCCTTCTCTGTCTCTCTCGTGCGGGCGGCCGACGTCCCGTGTAAGCGACCTCTTGTTCGAGTGTCTTCGTTTCTGTTGCTTTTCACCTGTCCCTCCTTGTTACTTCGTCTCTTTGTGATGCTAACGCTGCTTCTTTAGAGCCAGCTTCAGCGGGCTGGACAATCGAGACCTTCCGCCCCCTTGTGGGTGATGAATAATTGAGACCTTCCACCTCTATGGTGATGTTCATCTTGACTTTCAGTGCGAGATAGCTAAATAGCTGAAGCGCTAGTAAACATTTGGCCACTAAACTAACTAACTAATTGCCTCTTCAGTCCAAGTGAAATTCTTCGGCAGTCAAGAGACCTACTAATGACAGCAGTAAAAGGGAAAAAAATACTCAGAAAAGCGTAGCACCGTTTATTAAAAAAGAGAAATTACTTCATTTATAAATTAGCGTTGGAACTCGATAACCCCGAGGAATGCCCTACAGCAGCCACGACTGTGAAAACACGATCAGAACTGACGGAGTTCACAGGACAAGTGCAACACGTTCAATACACGTTCGATACGTCCAGGACACATTGGACACGTCCAGAACACGTTCATTACATTCTCGGCACGTTCAAAACACGTTCAGGATGCGTTCAATACACGTTCGACGCGTCCAGAACACGTTCAGGACGCGTTCAATACACTTTCAACACGTTCAATACATGCCCAACACAAGCTTATAAGGAAGTAAGATGGAGCGATGGTATGAAAATGTCATAAAAATTAAGAATTCACAAAAGACATACGCTCTTATTCTTTGCAGCAAGTCATAATAAATTTGTCTACCGTTGGAGTGTTCAGTCGATACAATAGTTACATGATGTTAACACAAACTTCAACAAAAGCTCGATAAAAATTAGTTGAATTAAAGAAAGATTCAACGAGACGTCGTACGTTAGAGCGTTGTATCTTCGCGTCACTGAACTGAGAGCAGAACATTTTTTCTATCAATATGGCAGAACAAGACAAGACAGTAGATACAATTACTGAATAGTATCATGTTTCCACACTCAGAGAAATGTGTGAGGCTTTGTCCAAATATCGACGCATTTTGCTCTTGTGTAGGCAATCGCGACCCAGTTTAGGCCCCAGCTCCAGAGAATCGTGAAGGTGAAGATTAGCTGGCAATTATAACACAGATTATGAGGCTTTAAAGCTGCATCAAATCATTAATAGTCTGTCCATGGCCTCTACTACTTTGAGGCCATGATAGTCTGTCCTTGGCCTCATAGTAGTCCGTTAATTAAAGATCAATGAGAAATTGCATACAATAATTAATAACATAATAACATTTATATTTACGAAAAAAATGTGCGTTGTTTTTTCATCTCGAACAAAAATTAACAACAGAAATATTCAGCATATTCACTGCTCTTTTCACTCAAATAGATTTCTAGCACACAGCTTGCCACACTTCATCGAATTCGTAGCGATTCTTGCTTGGAACAATATTATTGTCTCGCTGTTCAAGAACAATATTGATGTCTCGCTGTTCAGAAACAATATTGATGTCTCGCTGTTCTGGACAAAAGAACATCGGACAAAGATGTGCTCAGAACATTAGACCATGACAAGCATACGGAGACAGTGGGGCGTGAACTTAGCGCTTGCGTCTAAGTAATCAGTCATCCAAAATGTGTGTAGCAATCAACACGCATGAGGCATAGGCTAGAACTTCTTCATTATTACTGGCAGTGACACTGTGAAGATCAAGAGAAATAATTTTGACGTAAATAGCAGAATTGATGAGAAAGGTTTCTCTGAACGAGTAACAGTAAAGATATCTTAGAACGACACAGTCCGCCATTAGAACAGGATCTGAAAAACAGGACTGCATTCATCATCAGCAAGTTGTTCATTGTATATTAATTATAATAATCGAGAGGTTTTCTAAGCCTTCAGTCAGTTTCTCTCGTCACCAGGCCTTTAAGTACAGATAGCATTGACGATGGTAAATGTATGCATAAATAAAAGGTTATACGGTACGGTATTATAAGTCAGGACGAGAATGGCCAGAGATAAAGCAAAGCTCGATGTTGAAACAAAAGTAATAATGGAAGCAACTGCCAGCACTCATACAATATTTAGATACTGCATTTCTTCAGTGCACACAATACATTGTAGGCGAAAAGACGACATCCATCAAAATATGCCAACTCATTTAGGCTCGCATGTCAAACAAAGCCTTCTGAATGCAATACGACAAGTCCTGCACAGCAGCAGTGTTAAGGCCACGTCACAACACCCACGTACAGCATCTATTCTCACGCTTGACTTCAAGTCAAATCTTATATAATTCGATTATTTTTGTGCCTTGCACTTAAAAACTCAAAATGTTTGTATAGTAAACAGCATGATTAGTCTTTATTGTAAATCTATACTTGTACTGTCCAGCAGCGACTAAAGACTTTACAATTTCAGCCAATGTACGGCAACTTGTGCAGGAGACCAGGGGCCGTACGAGCAAGAATGGTCACGAATTCACGCCTCCGCCAGGCATTAACTGATTGCTTGGTAAGTTCAACCAACAATCATACGAGCAATCAGCCGCTGCTTGTGCTCCCGCAAGTTTTGGTGGTGCTTTGATAATTCCAAGCCTAACTCATGATAAATGGTGAGCATAACCATCGTAATGGCGAGGAAAACGTCTCACAGTTTAAAATGTACTTTTTGACAGCAGCCATCATGAGAAAACTTTTGTGCACATGTAGCACATGTACTACATGTACCCAGAGATTGGCATATAATTGTATACAAATATTTGTATATCACTGATCCCTGCAATCATACGAACTAAGATTACACTGAATTAAGCAATACCTTCACCTGAAAACATTCACATACAAAACACAATGTAAGATACACAAACTTCAGGAAGTTGAACATCACAAGAGAAAAAGATTTTAAAGCTTAATCAAGTTTGAATGCATCTTCATAAATAATCGCAATTAGACGAGTGAACTTCACGATAAAGCATAGTAACTTCTGCATGCCGTCCTGAGCAACATTAGAGCTTGCAGCGTAGAATAGAGTAGCGTATCTACTATGAGAAATATAGGGAAAACTCAAATATTGAAAAACAAAAATCTGTCTAAAAGATTTCAACGAAGAATATCAACCGAAACGTGGGAAAAGTTTTGACGCTCCGACACTCTGGACGCTCTCACGACACGTTAACATTCACATATACGACCTTCTCTCCAAGATAAGACTAAAGGCATGACAAGAATAGCTAGGCCAGCTAAGAGCTTAAGCACAGCACGCCACTAGACGCAGCAGCATGCCACTAGACACTACTTCTAGTGGCGTGACACTAGGGGTAGGGTAGGGGTAGTGTCTAGTGACGTACGCCATTAGACGCTACCCCTACACTAGGCGCTTGTGTTACCACGCAGGGTCGCCCCGGCGCCGCCATTATCAGCAAACATTTTCTAGCATTTTTCTTAAATTTAATCAACTGGCGAGGCTTCAAGAGCGACGTACATTGTGAAAGGAGCTGAAGGTTCCTCGGTCATCTAAACCCGCCATGGCTAAGAAGTGATCACAGTGCATTAACAGCATTACGTTTACAACTAAGGCTATTGAAGAGGTAGCAACTTACGAGGCTGGTATTAAATTAAAACTGGAGCTTCTTCTACATCAATCTTGACTTTCTTAACAGGTCTGTCGTCTTCAAGAACATTCTCATCTACACATCGTTTAGCTGTTTTCAGTTCAGCATCTTCACTATCATCTTTATTTCCAGAGTTTACAACACCTTCCATTGACACCGCAGCCTCACCATGATTCAGATCATCATTTTCATTACTAACATTATCCTCTAATTTGGCAGCACCGTTGCTTTCTTCACAATTAACACCATTGAGAGCTGGCTTGCCCGCCTCAATACCACTCGCTACACCCTCGTCTTCTTCTTCCTCGTCACAAGCAGTGTCGGCAAAAGCAGTTTTGTCTTTGAAGGAAATGATGATGCCGGTCATGTTGTCGCAGCCGGTGCCATCGCCGCCCAGGTCTGGGGCCAGGCAGTGCTCGAACATCTGTAAAACAAAGCAAATGTTTCAACATCTACACAAATATTACGTCGAGAATACTTATACTGTATAACAGTGACTTAATATACTAGGGCGTGGTAAATACATGGAGCGATATGACATGATTTATTGAAGCTGCTCAACAAGATATAAGCAAGACACTTATTGTACATGAACAATAGATGAATACTGCTGCGTGGCGTATTGTTACAGACAGAAGACAGTAGCACGGCAGCATCTCACCTCATTACAGACAGAAGACATGAGCACGACAGCATCTCACCTCATTACAGACAGAAGACAGAAGCACGGCAGCATCTCACCTCATTACAGACAGAAGACAGTAGCATGTCAGGATTTTTATCAAGCCTTTTCTTCACAAAATCAACGGCTTGTTGAGACGTGAGGGAGTTCCAGATGCCATCACACGCTATGATGATGAAGTCGTCGTCCTTAGTCAGGGTCCTGACCATGACGTCAGGCAGGGGGCTGATCATCTGCTCCGAGGCTGACACTTTAGGGTTCATCTTGTAGCCGTGGTCGCCTGCATTAATTGTTCAACTATTATAATCAGTTCATAATGAGCCATATAAAACTATCAAGAAAAAATACCTAATAAAGCTGAGGTTTGGATGAATTAAAATGTAAATGCTCGCATTGTTTTTGATTAAAATTGTCGGAAACAAAATTTCAAACTAGCTGAATGAAGTAAGTATTTATTTAAGATATTACAGCGGTATCACAATGTAGTCTCGCGAGACACCAGGGGCCATACTTTCAAAACTCGCTAAGTGAACGTAAGTACTTACACTCTATTTTCTTGTCTATGATTGGTAGATTTAGCTTGCGTGGCCGTCAATGATTGGCTGATGGACTTACGATCTCTTAACTTTTTTTAAAGTATGGGCCCAAATCAATAAATAAGCTGACGCCTCACCCAGCGCACGCGACAAGTTGAGGCCACCATTAACCCTTCCATCATCAGTCACTTTGCCCCCAGCTTTGATGATCCTCTGCGTCTCGAGGTCGTCCTCAGGCTTGTGGTCGACGCTCATGTCGATGGCTTTACCAGCACGGCTGAGCACGCAGCGCGAGTCTCCCACGTTGGCGACGTAGAGTTTGTTCTTGTGCAGCAGCGCCACGCACGCCGTGCAACCGCTGTCGTAGCCGGGCTATGGGGAGGACGGATAGAGCGGGCTACAAGAAGGGGAGTTTAAGTATGGTGGGGAAAATTCAAGTAACTACGGTGGGGAAGAGGGGAACATCAAGTGGCTTTGGTGGAGTACATGGGAGGGAACTGGCAGTATAGAAGAGAATTTAACAGGCTTACTTGTAAAATTAAATTAGCTACTGAGGATGGAGGAGGAAAGTGGACTGTTTAACTGGCTAGGGGGAGGAGAGGAGGGAGTTGAACTGACTACTGGGGAGAGGAGGTGGGGAATTAACTAGTTTCATGGGAATTTATGGGATGAAATGGTGAGTTGAAGTGTATACGGTGGAAAAGGGGGTATTTACAGGCTACGGAGGGAAAGGGGGTGAGAAATTAAATAGTTAGGGGGAGGAAGGGGAGAGTTGAAATGGCCAGGGCTGAAAAAGGGAACTGAACTGTTTCAGTTTTCAATATCTAAAACATTAACCGTCCTGTGTTAATGAGAAGATAGGGCACTGGCATCTGATAAGTTAAGTAATATACTGAGAACACTCATGATGCCACTCACCCCATCCGTCATGTTGGCATAGAACTCATTGTAGACGGCATTGTCATCATCACTGATGCCCTCTTCATCATCGTCATCATCGTCGTCGTCATCATCATCATCATCGAGAGCCTCGTCGGCGAGGTCCTCCCCCAACTCACTATCATCACTAGACTCGTCTTCATCCCCAGCTTCCTCGCCTTCAGGGTCAGATGTATCATCTTCATCGTTGACGTCTCCCTCACCTTCACCGGTCACGCTACCACTGTACCAACAGTTAATAATATTACTAATATTATAATATGCATCTTAATATGTATACAATATTAAAATATGCATGTTTTTACATACGTACTAACATTAAAATATAACATGAATGTTATAATATAACATTCAAATATTATAATATGATGTTCATACTTCCATGTTTTATTCATATGATAGAAAATTTTGTGAAGTAACAAATATTAAAGGCAGCTTTCATGTTGAGGATTATTGAGGCACAAATGCAAGGAATAAATTCACTCATCATCGTGACTGGCATGATGAAAATGCTTACTTAACATTATTATGACTGGCATGATGAAATTCTGAACAGGAAAACGTCGCAAGTTGCGAGCGAGGACGAGATGGCAGAACAACGTCAGCACTCAGAGCTCTAACTGACACTCAGCCATTTTCTTGCCTAACAGCTGATTTCCTTAGTAAAAATTCCTAAGTTGGATCATGCTTTGAGGGCATACAAACAAGCTAGCTTGAGGTTTGTTTACCTCAAGAAGTAATGGATATTCGGTACAATCCGTTCAAAATATGTGCATCCAATTAGCCTAAATAAAAAGTAATTATAATGATGTTCAGAGTTTTTATGTGGCATCAACTCATAAATGTATCTTATAATATTTTTATTAAATTCCGCAGTTAAGGAAAAATTGTGCTATCTAGTTTTAGACTGAAAAATAATGCATTAACAGAAATCTAAGTCTAATGAAAAGCTTTCCAGGCAAATGACGTGGGAACAGCATTGATTACAATTTGATTTTGTTAAAACCACATGTAATCAACAGTAATTCAAAATTAGATTCATGGTGGTTGGAAACAACATATACCAATCTATGGTAATTCAATGTTAAGTTTCATGGTGTTTGAGCACTCACTCAACATCATAATTTTCATCATCCTCATCCTCGTCTTCACTGTCAAGATCCTCCTGAGAGAGCACCTTCCTCTTGACTTCAGCCAGCGCTGCTCTGCGCGTCTTTGTAGGCGACGCAGCCGTGGCTTCATCAGAGCACTCCTTGCTGGGTGACAACGTCGTGGTTGTGATGGCTGAACTGCCCTTTACTTTACCGCCCTTACCGCCGCTTTTGCCTTTGCCTGCTCAAAAACAACTTTGTATTCTTAGCGAAGTATATGAACGATAAAGATCTCAAGGTTTAACATATACTAATTTGAAGGATAATGCAATATTCTGAAAGTATATGAACGATTTATATCTCACAGTAAGTTTAACGTATAATTTGAAGGATAATGCAATATTCTGTTAGATCCTCAACAACAAGAAGGGATATGATGTTTCATCCTATAAGTTCTAGTGATAGCTGTAAGATCACCTAGCATCACTTACAAATTAAATATAGATAATGACTGCGAGACAATTATACACCAATCATTGTGAGATGTAGGACAAATGAGTAAAATAATTATTTAGTTATTTAGTTTTTTTTTAATAGCACTGAAGAACACTCAAAAGTTTCAGCTTGCAAGTGAAATTTGCATCCACATCAAACAAAACATGAATAATAGGAACAACATTATTAAAATCTTACCAGTATAAGAAGGAGATTCCTCAGGGACACAGCTGGTTTTAGGGGAGAGTTGCGTGGGTACAATTCTTCTGCCCTCCACAACCAGATCTGTTTTGGTCTCATCATTTGCACCATTAATGGCCTTCTCATCCTTATGATCATTGACATCACCGTTTGTCAGAAGTTTCTTAGCCTTCTCTTCAGACTTTTCTTCTGATATACCATCAGACTTCTTCTCAGTTTCACCATTGATTAATTTAGCCCTAGGACTAGAAGATACATCCTCTGAAGTATCAGATTCCTCCTTAGGAGGCAAGCTTTCTCCATCAGATGTGGGGGAGGGAGTATCGCCATTACTGTTTCCGCTGCTGCAGGTCTTAATAGAACTACCACTACCTTTCTTAACTTCATCTTCAGCTTTCTCATCAATCGATACTATATTAGAATCAGCACTCTTGCTTTCCCTAGCCTTTCTTCTGGGCTTCAGTACTGAGGAACCACCAACTGACTCGGAATTATCCGTTTCTTTGAGTTTAGCTAATGCCTTGCCTGCATACCGAGATGCAAGCACCTCATCAATGGGCATACTGGCATCCTTCTGCAGAGCAGACACGATGTCTGCATCTTCACTGTCTGTGCTCTCCTCTGCCTCCTCACCTGTAGTCATAATATCAGTGTCAAAGCAGTGAAAATTAAGGCAGCAAATATTTCACGAGTTTCAATCTAAAAATGCCAATTGTTACAAGTACAGTAATCAACATGATTTCAGAGTGAGAGGTTTTACCAAAGAAAGATTCAAAAACTTTGAATAAGTTAGAGCACAAAAATATAAATAAATTTCATAAAACCATATGTTCAATCTAATGGATTAGTGGCATTAAAAAGACTGTTGCACCATAAACAATACTAAGGACATAATTTCATCAGTGCTGGCTGATGCAAGTAACTTGTCTACCTTTCTTGCAACTGGCCATCTTCTTAAGGAGAGCGAGCACCTCTGACTCCAGCAAATGTTGGTCAAATGTTAAGAATGCCTCAACCAAAGCCTGCAACATAGGAGAATTGTACTGTGGTTAGGAGCCTTATCTAAATGATGGTACTGTATGTATATGGATTGAAATTCCGTTCATACAATTAAGAAATATTTTATCTATATTTGACAATAACAGAAATAAAAACATACAATCAACTCATAAAGTTTACACTCACTAATATCCCTGGCACAAATAAAAAACAATCTTTACACAATTGTGGCTTCATGATAACATAGGGAATATAAACAGTAATCAATCTCACTCAAAACATGTAACAATTGTTAGTGTAAGGCACTATATATAGAGATAATTTTAGTTTAAATTTATTCCTTTATCAATATCAATAATGATTGTTGGTCAGTCAACATAGATAGGTAACAAACACAAGATAACAATGTTTGTTAGATCTTATGAATGTTTCATTATATTTATCATCAAAACTTACCTTTCTCATATTGCCTTGCTTATAAGATGCATTAGCAAGAAGATGTGCAGGAAAATGCTGAGCAGTGTACTCGGCCACCTCATGTCCACCATGGCCATCGTAAACAGCAAACAAGGAAGCATTCTCGTCGAGCTCGAGAATCACATTGTGTGCATCCTGCAGGAAATTGCATTTGATTATCTAGGTCTTTCCTGCAAATACCTTCAAATCCTCAGTCAATAGTTTTACATATTGTTAGTGCCAGTGAGAGAAGAAAAATAACAAATTTACATTCAATTGGACAATATAAGATAAAGAAACTACAGTTGTACATAAATACAAGTGTTTAGTGCAGGTTTCATTGAAGACCAGAGTATTTTTTATTGACAATTTTCTTATCAACAAGGTTCCAATATATTTGGAACCTTGCAGCCATTCATGCATTTTCATTGACAATTAGTTTATTTAGATAGAATTTAAAAGACTCTTGCTGTTCCAAAGTCCAAACATAGAAGGAGCACTCTAGTAATGGCTTCAAAGGTAGATATTTCCCATTCCTGCCTAAGGCTAGGTATATTTATTTCAAATGGAGATGTTACTTGGAGAAATTAAAATTTCATATTGTACATCAATATTGACATTAAATTTGACTCCTTAATGAGATCAAATCTTGAAAGCAGGGTTTGTACCAGTATTTGGAACAAAAATTCCATGACTTTTCCATGACTCTCCATGACCATCAATATAATTTTCCAAGACTTAGGGATGACCGCTTTAGCACGACTAAAAAACTATCCGTGCATATTCTATCATCTCCTATAGTTGATAAATAGCAAATGTGTAAATGCATAGCTCTTTATGGTTATTCAAAGCTGCTTCCCTCATATTTGAAACATTGAAGTCTTTCGAGCACAATATACATGATATTGCCATACCTTCATGCTTTGGATGGTCAATGGTGAGCAAGCCAGTCACAACAAGCTTCTATTCTTAACCACAAGTCATGAAATTTACACTTTCCAAGCATGGTTATTGGTGATCTAGAAATTGCACACTGAAGATGGAATGCTGCCATTGTAGATCAATCGGAACGCATGAAACAAGAGACTGCGGCACAGTATCTTGTTAGGTTGTTACTTTTTTCATGTGTGCCAATCAGAAAGCAGGAAACAAACAACTGCACAAACAGTTTAGCACATGCAGCACAAAAAAAAAAAATATTTTTTTCTTATGGAGATGTTACTTGGAGAAATTAAAATTTCATATTGTACATCAATATTGACATTAAATTGGATCCTTAATGAGATCAAATCTTGAAAGCAGGGTTTGTACCAGTATTTGGAACAAAAATTCCATGACTTTTCCATGACTCTCCATGACCATCAATATAATTTTCCAAGACTTAGGGATGACCGCTTTAGCACGACTAAAAAACTATCCGTGCATATTCTATCATCTCCTATAGTTGATAAATAGCAAATGTGTAAATGCATAGCTCTTTATGGTTATTCAAAGCTGCTTCCCTCATATTTGAAACATTGAAGTCTTTCGAGCACAATATACATGATATTGCCATACCTTCATGCTTTGGATGGTCAATGGTGAGCAAGCCAGTCACAACAAGCTTCTATTCTTAACCACAAGTCATGAAATTTACACTTTCCAAGCAAGGTTATCTAGAAATTGCACACTGAAGATGGAATGCTGCCATTGTAGCTTGGTTTGGTGACCAATCAGAACGCATGAAACAAGAGACTGCGGCACAGTATCTTGTTAGGTTGTTACTTTTTTCATGTGTGCCAATCAGAAAGCAGGAAACAAACAACTGCACAAACAGTTTAGCACATGCAGCACAAAAAAAAATTCTTTTTTTTTTCCTTCTTTCATCTGCAAATTCCATGACTTTCCATAACCTGAAATGAAATCCAATGACTTTCTAGGCCTAGAAAATGAAAAATCAAATTTAATGACATTCCACATTTTCCATGCCCAATACAAACCCTGTGAAAGAAAGCTCAATGATTAGCAATGTGCAATTTTTATTTAATTTTAAATCCTTAGATTAGGGTTCAGCCAGTTTAAAAAATCTACTTTAAATAACATTTTTTCGCAGTTAGTAGAATTGCTTTGATATTTATCTAAACACATCTTTAATTTGAGAAAAAAATAGAAGAAACTTATAGAACTTCAATTCATTCAAACAAAATTGCAATATTAGGCCTATTTCAGAAATTCAGATAAACCTGTAGGAACAGTGAAGTAAAATAATCTCTTTGAATTGTCAGAGTTTGCTGATCTATAAAATAATTAGAAAAAATGAAGTTGAAAACTTTGACCGAGGATAATAGCTAGCCTAACTCAGTTAGGTAGGTAGTTTGCTTCTTAGAGTTACAGATAGTTCAGTTCAGAACTTCAGTTCAGTAGTTCTTACCTCCTGAGAAGTTCTCCAGCCTTGCATGGAACTCGAACCGCATTTCAACAGTTTGTTGTCTTCATCACTAGAATCTTTATCAGTAACTGGAGTTGAAATGTATATTCCCATGACGCACAAACTAGTAAATTTATAGAAAATTTTTCAGGAAGCACAAAACGTGTTTAGCCGCATAACACTGAGCAGTCACTACCGCAAAACAGTTGATCAACATGGGGGTGGGAAGGGGGGATGAGACGAAAGTAGTGTTGCCATGGCGCGAATATAATTTCCTCCAAACTAAATACCTTGACCTCGAGAAAAATCACACAGAACCTCATGGATCGTTCTGACACTTTTGTGGCAAACTTTTGAAATGAATATCAACAACAAATGTTTTCACATGAATTTTCCATATCAAAACCGACATCAACTGAATTTAAAATTAAGCTATTAATTCGAAATGCGCGTGGTGCGAGAAGTTCATACATGCATTTTTTTTTGTCCGCATCAATTTGAATAAGTGTACTGAATGTTAATGTGTAGTATGTTCTCCATGCATAAAACATCTACTCAAAAGCTTCCATAACCTAATTAAAATCAGAACTTACAAACCTCTCTTATCGACTTCATCATGGTGACCTCATCGAAGTATACATGTATACAGTATACCCACGGTTTATACAAGATCCCAGGAGTCCTAGAATTTGAAACAATAACCAACACCAGGGGCCATGCTATAAACTAAAAAAACTGCATTGTAACACATCCATGCGACAATATTTCTTCTCGCTTTGAGTTACCGACATGTGGAAGAGCCTCTCTGATAGCTTCGTTGACGATCCAAGAAGCCTTAAAGAACTGACTGGACAAAGATATGCAGGAGCATATGTTCAGTCTTGAAATGCCTAGCAACTTACGGACCTGCAGCAGGCAATAAGTCCAGCAGCTATCTCAAACAATCTACAGTTATGAAAAGATCGGGTTCAAAAGGCCGGATCCATTGTGGAATCGAGTCACGAAAAGTACAAGAATCGGCAACAGGCCAAGGGCCTATTTTTAAAGTGCCAGCACTTCTATTCTATTTTATTACGTATGGCACTCGAGTAACGTAGGGCACTCGTGTTACGTATGGCACGTATGTAACTTTCACAGAAGTCTTCAATAAAGTCAGCGGTTCAAGTTGTCCCAATCTGATGAAGAAACAAAGAATGTGTTTTACGATCGGTCCGTAAAGAAGCGTTGATCGGTTCAAAATGACATAAGAACAGGTTCTTTTGAATAACCTATGGATTGCCACCATGGATGGATGTAACCGAATTTGAGCTGTGGGCCATTGTTCTCGGGTGTGCTGCGGTCCGTCATTCTTCGCACTATGCCAGTTGTAAAAGAGAATTTAGCATAGGCATCATAATTAGAGAACTAGCACATTCAAAAAGAGACAGTTTATAAAAATATAGTCTATTCTTAAATAAAAAGTTCCAATATTCATATACCGATATTATATCACCCTTTGAAATCGCTAAACAGTAATGCATAAATTGTCAGGAGTTGCTAAAATCACATAAACTAAACACGTCATGTAAAAATAACTTACATCATTTGCATTTCGAGTTTTGTACGCCATAGTGGCAAACCAGAGATTTTTTAGAATCAGTTCATTTTTAATTTCCTCATTTACTCAAGATTTGAACCAAGTCCTTATGTATGATAATGCTGGTATCCATGATACTTTACTGTTCTACATATAGGCTAGTATGGAATATATCTACTTGGCGAGCCGCGACTGAATTTTTCGAGCCGTGGTTTTATGGATTTGCCAGCCGTGATTCCATTTCTACGAGCCGTGATTCTATTTCACCGAGCCGTGAATTCCATATCTCGGCCATGAAAAGCCATTTACGAGGTGCGAATGCGAATTTATTTACAAAGTTTATGCACGTGTTACCCCAAATCTCTAATTTTACCCTTAAACAGTCAAACGGCAACAATAAAATTTGTCTCTACTGTAAGTTCAGCACGTGTTAATATACAGTCTGACCGCTTTGACATGACCGCAACTATGCGCGATCTTCAACAAACGTTTTGTTTATTTGTTTACATTACGATGTTTATGTTTTTTCTGCAAGATATTTTTGGCGGAAACGGTAAAGCAATGCGGATTGCGGAAGTTGAAAATTTTATGAAATGACATGTTTGCGAAGTGCAAACCGCGATTTTTTAATCAAACAAAAATTTATGACATTCGAGCCGCGAGATTTCATACCTACTGAAATTATATGATATTAGAGCCGCGATATTTCAGACAAAAATAGGACTTTTCCGGACTAGCATATAGGACTCTAAAACAAACTTGAGGGAGAGTCTAAAAAACTCTCTGCTTTGCCACTATGTTTGTACCTACTCCTTTGACCAAACACTTCATAGGCACTCGTGTTCTCTATAAATATCAAATAGGCACTCTACTAGAGAGTGACTCCAAACGAGAGTGGTGTTAGTCAACATTTGGTGTGCCGGACCAGCATACACAATCAACCTTACTAGACCAGAGACAGCTATCTACTAGCCTACTAACTAGGGTAAACGCGGTATATTCCGACACTTTAAGGACGCATCGAGAAATGAAAAACTATAAAAAAAAACGTATGCGTTACGTAAGTTCTGTTGGCTTTACATGACTCTCAAAACACCTCACTACGCGTCGGCAACGATGAAACGTCNAGACGAAAGTAGTGTTGCCATGGCGCGAATATAATTTCCTCCAAACTAAATACCTTGACCTCGAGAAAAATCACACAGAACCTCATGGATTGTTCTGACACTTTTGTGGCAAACTTTTGGAACGAATATCAACAAATTTTTTCACATGAATTTTTCATATCAAAACCGATATCAACTGAATTTAAAATTAAGCTATTAATTGTGGGCAGGGTGGCCCAGTGGTTAAAGTTCAGAGTACCCGGATTGGCGCAGAGAGGCACGGGTTCGATCCCAGCTCTGTGTGCCAGTTTCTGGTCAGAATCGGCAAGGAGGCCGGGCGGTTTAAGCATAGCAGAATTGTAGCAGTGAGTTGCGAGTTCGAGACCGCAAAATGCTGTGAATGTTCTGCGATGTTAAGAATCGGCGACAGGCCTACGGCCTAATAACGCTGAAACCGCTATTATTATTATTATTTTTATTTTTATTATTATTTATTAATTCGAAATGCGCGTAGTGTGAGAAATTCATATATGCATTTTTTGTCTGCATTAATTTGAATAAGTGTACTGAATTTTAATTCCCAATATGTTCTCCATGCATAAAATATCTACTCGCAAGCTTCATTGACCTAATTGAAAACAAAACGTGCAAGCCTCTCGTATCGACTTCTGCGTGGTGACCTCATCGAAGTATACATGTATCCCCAAGGTTAATACAAGATCCCAAGAGTCCTAGAATTCGAAACAATAACAACACCAGGGGCCATGCTAAAAACTAAAAAATTGCATTGTAACACATCCATGCGATAATATTTCTTCTCGCTTCGAGTCACCGACATGTGGAAGAGCCTCCCTGATAGCTTCGTTGACGATCCAAGAATGAACACCTTAAAGAACTGACTATACAAAGCCATGCAGGAGCATATGTTCAGTCTTGAAATGCCTAGCACCTTACGGACCTGGCAATAGGTCTAGCAGCTATCTCAAACAATCTTCAGTTTTGAAAAGATCGGGTTCATAAGGCCGGATCCATTGTGGAATCGAGTCACGAAAAGTACAAGAATCAGCAACAGGCCGTGGGCCTATTTTTCAGTGCCAACACTTCTATTCTATTTTATTACCTATGGCACTCGAGTTACGTAGGGCACTCGTGTTACGTATGGCACTCGTGTTACGTATGACACTCGTGTTACGTATGGCACTCGTGTTATGTATGATACTCGTGTTACGTATGACACTCGTGTTACGTATGGCACGTATGTAACTTTCACAGAAGTCTTCAATAAAGTCAGCGGTTCAAGTTGTCCCAATCTGATGAAGAAACAAAGAAGAAGTTTGTGCTTGTGGCAGATGAAGTTCCTCCAGCCATCAAAAATTTATTCATCGATGAAACGGCCGCAAAGTGTCGCCCCTGCTAATCAATTATGGACTGGCCGATCAGATATAAAATTAATATTCTTCCAAGACAAATATATATGAATATTAAATTATGAAAATATAGAATTTATCTATATACGCTCTATGGGAAACCGTTCGATAAAGATAGATAACGATACAGATAAATAACGAAAATGACGAGGCTAGAAGAGTCCATGCAGGGCAAACAGTTGCCCAATTTTGTACCTACATCATATTTTGGTATGACGGGTTTTCTTGGCATATAAGAAGTGTTGTGAGACGTATTATTTTTTTTTCGTTGAGCGTTTCAGCCATTCGCGTGATATCGTATATTCGGCAAAGCTCTCTTTCTCAGACTTAGGCGATGCCATACTTAGTAGATTATTTTAGATTTAGAAGGATGAATGGACAAGCCGATGAGTAACGTATTATATCCCAACAGAGACCAAAAACGTCAAGAGATATCGAATACAGACCCGTAGCTTCTGGCATCGCGGAAAAAAGTCATCACAGAAATTATTTAATATGATTATTTGTTTTCATCTGTTGAACGCTGCGTAAATTCTATTTATGTGCAACCATACAGAAGCCTATAATAATCATACTTCTACATGTTGCAACTTGAAGCATGACTATGGAGGGGTCTGGAAGAGTGATTCAAAGCAAATTTAGAAGATAAGTGTACAAGATCAATTCAAGTTATAATTTCTGCGACAGTACACCCTTCTGTAAACGGGACCGAATGCTGTAGGACGTATTTTACTTCACTTCATAATATGAAGTCAATCTAAATTGATAACGTACTGAGGTTCTGTTTGAAGCATCTTTATATTTAGAAAAAAAGAATAAATGTCTCGCAATGATGCAAACAATTTTGTATAATCAATCAATGCTCGAGTTGATTAAAATTAAAATTTCATGAGCAATGGCATGCGTGACCTCATTGAGCTCATACAAGCTTTGCCTCTTCAACGCTATCTCACCACAAGACGCTATCATGAAAGATTTTCGGAGTCCAATCTACTTTCCTTGCATAACTGTTCATCATTATATTAGAAAAGTGTTTTTAATGAATTATCATCCTACGTTATTGTTCAAGAAATTGCAAGCATTTGGGATTTCACTTACAGAAGCAACCGAC